AGACCACAGGGTCTTCGTTTTAGACCACAGGGTCTTCGTTTTAGACCAGTAGGTTTTCGTTTTAGACCACAGGGTCTTCGTTTTAGACCACAGGGTCTTCGTTTTAGACCAGTAGGTTTTCGTTTTAGACCACAGGGTCTTCGTTTTAGACCACAGGGTCTTCGTTTTAGACCAGTAGGTTTTCGTTTTAGACCACAGGGTCTTCGTTTTAGACCACAGGGTCTTCGTTTTAGACCAGTAGGTTTTCGTTTTAGACCACAGGGTCTTCGTTTTAGACCACAGGGTCTTCGTTTTAGACCAGTAGGTTTTCGTTTTAGACCACAGGGTCTTCGTTTTAGACCACAGGGTCTTCGTTTTAGACCAGTAGGTTTTCGTTTTAGACCACAGGGTCTTCGTTTTAGACCACAGGGTCTTCGTTTTAGACCAGTAGGTTTTCGTTTTAGACCACAGGGTCTTCGTTTTAGACCACAGGGTCTTCGTTTTAGACCACAGGGTCTTCGTTTTAGACCAGTGGGTCTTCGTTTTAGACTACAGGGTCTTCGTTTTAGACCATAGGGTCTTCGTTTTATAGCACAGGGTCTTCGTTTTAGACCACAGGGTCTTCGCTTTAGACCACAGGGTCTTCGTTTTAGACCACAGGGTCTTCGTTTTAGACCACAGGGTCTTCGTTTTAGACCACAGGGTCTTCGTTTTAGACCACAGGGTCTTCGTTTTAGACCACAGGGTCTTCGTTTTAGACCACAGGGTCTTCGTTTTAGACCACGGGGTCTTCGTTTCAGACCAGTGGGTCTTAGGTCTTCGTTTTAGGGTCTTCGTTTTCGACACATCCGACTGATTGGTATCATAGGAAGTATCAAGGCACAAAACGGTGTTTCCCCTGAGGTAAGATTACAGTTTCTTACCTTTATTTATGCATGCAGGTTCAGCCGGCGAATTGCAGCAATGAGTCTAGCAACTCTTTTTTCTTGAACTTTGTGCTCATCTGTTTTCCTCCACCCTAAATTAAAAATACAAAAAAACATCCACTTCATGTACAGTTCACATATTGTCTTAACCCATAACCTGTAAGAGTGACTGATGTCGAGGTGATGCAAATGCATACTGATGTCAGGGTATCAAGTAAGTTAGTTAGACGCACTAAACCAGTCCCAATAACACTACAATGAAGAGAAGCAACTAAATAGTTACCTTCCACCTCTGACAGACGTTTCAGGTCCAAACACAGTAAGTTAAGACAACCATCAATGTTTTCTCCTTTGTCCCTATATTGGTGAAAGGAAAATAGAATGTCATGCAAATCTTCCCCTATCTAAATACAACCTTTAGTCTGGCTGGATCCATCCAGGGGAGGTACTTAGATCAATTTTTACTGGGAAATGGTGCTGCTGGCCTCTCAGAACTCCTTCCACATTATAGTCTCTTTATGCAACCAGTTATAGACTCCAACTTAGTCACTTTTAGTAAAACAATTTAAAATCCCTACTTACCAGAAGTTTCTAACCCCAAATGTGCAACCCCATTCTAGTAACCCTACTGAAAATGCAACCATATTAGAGTCAATTCGGTCATGAAAATGTGACCCCATCCAGCAGCACATCCCAACAGCCTATTTCTGAGAACTACCCCCCATACCCTGGGGGCAGAAGCACACCAGCTCCTGAAAAAATTCAGAAAAAATAAGATCATAGATAAACAGTGGAACTGCTCAGCAGATTAAAAATTTTTCCTTGTACTGCTAAAATGTTTTCATTACCAACAAGAAATGAAAATATATCCATAGGAAACAATTAACTGATATACGAAACGCACGTCATTTATACCATATTCTAATCAAAGACAGTAGGTGAACATATATAAGCACCTGTGCAGAGTAAATTGCATGGATACAAGTACACTACTTTCTGATATTTTAAGTCATTAATGATTAGTTTGTTATATTTCTGAAATAAGTCTGTTTTACTTACAGGGCAAGAAGGTCTTCTTTTCTTTTCATCACTTTGGAGTGGAAATTATCTAAGATAATCCAGCCTTGTTTTAAGTTTTCCAACTCTTCTTCGCAGTCTACAGAAAAAAAGACAACAAATGCAATGTAAAAGCTTTGTAAGTTAAGTATGACTTGTAACAGCAGCAAACAATGAAAACTAGCAGTATCTCTAGCTATGGGATTACCATAACCTAACCTATTCAACCCTTTACTCCCATGACTGACCAAGACAGAACTTCTCCTTGCAATATCATTACAGTATTGAGCAGGTAAATAAGGAAAAATATCAACTATGTGATTATCAGTTGATCCATTTCCAAATTTTCTGGCTAACTGAGGAGAGAAACTAATGAGATCGTGAGAGTGAAACTGTTAGAGTTCAGAACTCTAACCAGAGTTTTCATGAAGGAATGTACATTCTGAAATTTGACCCAACAAAACAATTGGCTCAGTTCTCAAAGGATCACTAACCTGATGACATGGCTGTCTGCATTTCAAGCTCTAGTTTTGAACGCACTTCTTCTGAAGATAGTAATTCATCTTGAACAAGCTTCAGTTCCTTGTCAACATAACTGGCCAACTCTGAGCAAAGATGGCTTACACTTGAGGCTGACAAAAAAAATTGATGTATGCAATTAGAATGACTGTAATTGCACTTTATTCAGTATAATGCAGTTTAAAGTAACAGTTTTTATTTGACACTTATTATAACTCACTTATGTTCCCAAAGAGTCTTACAATATTTATTTATCTTACAATTTTTTTGGACAAAAAACCAAACTTTGAGCCCTGATCCTCTGATGTGGGAAGCTGGAGAACAAATCATAACTTACAAGAATTTTCTTCTTTCCTGGAAGTGCACTCCTCCTCTGTCTCAATTTCATCTTCTTCAAGAAACACAGTTTCTCTGTACACAGATTCTGAGGACAACACAGACAAAGAGTCTAGTGCATCTTCACCATCTTTGAAAGGATTTAATACCTCAGGCTGTTCAGGAAACCTGACAGTTTCCCAAAGGCGCCTTGTACTCTGCATGCCTTTTTTCTCTTCACTCTTCTGTGGTAACCCTTTGCTAGCAACTGGGTGTAGCTGTGGTGGAACGTGGCTAAGAGGAGCATGAAAAAGTGAAGCTTCCCTCTGGACCTTTCCTGACCCCACTTTAGTATTGCTGCTAGAGGAGGGATCCACCTGAGGTCCACCACTTTGAGGGTTGGTGGCATGTTGTCCTTCAGCCTTTTTGTCATCTTCAGCAGCAATGTCTGAACCACTTAAGCAGCCATCTTTACTGTTTCCAGCTTTCTTTTTGTCTTGCTCAGCAGCAATGTCTGTACCACTTGAGCAGCACCATTTGCTGTTTTTAGTTTTCTCTTTGTCTTCCTCAGCAACAATGTCTGTACCACTTCAGCCACCACCTTTCCCTGTTTTTGCTTTCCTTTTGTCTTCTTCAGCAGCAATGTCAGCACCACTTAAACAGCCATGTTTGCTGTTTTTAACTTTCATTTTGTTTTCCTCAGCAACAATGTCTGTACCACATGAACCACCAGGTTTGCCATTTTTCGCTTTTCTCTTGTGTTCCTCAGTAGCAATGTCTGTACCACTTGAGCCACCAGGTTTGCTTTTTCTTCCTTTCCTTGAAGATTTATGCTTTGCCATCTTTCCCTCAGCTTTTCTTCTTGCTTGTTCTTCCTGGGCTTCCTTCATAATTTCTTCCCATATCTCTTGATCTGTGGGACTGTAAATGTAAGACAAATATCAAACACATTCAAGAACAAAGGGGCTACTATTCCTTAAGGAATGTAATCAGCTAATTATAAGGACTAATTGAAAAAACCATTGACAAAATGAAATTTCATTTTAGTCAACCCATTAGTTAGAAAGACAAATAGACAAGTCCTCAAATGGAAATATTTGTGACTCAAGATAGGAAAAAGTGAAAAAAGTAATAATCAAACTAATAATTTACTGTAATGACTCGATTTAGTACCCTCGTTCCAAAAAAAGCCCCCTCTAAAGTAAGTGCTTCCCAAAACTTTTTTAAGTACCACTATTCCGGTTGTATAAGTAACCTCATTCCAATATTGCTACCCTATTCTAAAAGCACTCCTACTCTGTTTCAATACTAAAACTGCTACATTCCCTACCATCATATTCACTGTATATTTGTCACTTTTACTTTTTCTGCAAATTTCTAATAATTGATCCTTAACAAATAAACATCAAAGTTTTGTTTACACTTGCATAAACCATTATTCACCAGCTATGAAAATCATTAAAAGATACTCACTGAGAGAGATCATCTTCATGCATAGCCCATGATAATTCAAATTCTATTTTACCAGAGAGAACTTTTTTGATTGCTGGCTTCAGGGTGACAGTCACGTCCACTTTTCCAGGCCTCTCTGTAATGTAATTGCTTATATCAATACAGCCAGTAGCAAGAAGCTGGTGTCGACCATTGCGAGACACCTGATGATTTCAAAGAAACAAGGGAAAACTGAACAGTTTTCAATATTGCTCCAAACTTGTTGAGGTAAATTTAATATAAAACTCAAAGGATAAATTGCTTAACTGGAGAAAAAAGACAAAAGCTTACATTACAGATAAGAATATTCCACTGTTTCTCTTGATATTCTGTCATTTCGTCCTGTGGGTTCTACAAATACAAAATAACATTTATCATAATAATGACAAAAACGTGATAACAACATAACAATTTTTCGAGTGGAGTGTCTTGTCCAGAGAATCTGATAATGAAGTTAACTCCATATAAAGGTAATTTCCTATTGTATTTCACTCATCACTCAACTTCAGCGTGATCATCATCATTTCTTTCCTTTACTTCTGCTTTGAACTTTACAAAATACAGCTTTCCCATTGAACACGCGTGCTTTGAATCAATTCAAACTTATTCTTCAGAGTATATCCAAAGCAAAAAGTAAAGCGGCAAGACCTTATGGCTTCTGTACTCCGCACAACGAACAAAGTATTTCTTTCCTTTCAAAATTGCCCAAAATTAAGCGAATCTAAACTGAATCAGACAAAGGAACGCAAATAACAGGAAGCAAGGAAAACTTCGTGTAGCGGTCATTACTTGTTTATAAAAACTATGGTTTCAACTAAGTAGTAAATCAGCTTCCTTTATTTAAAACTCACCTTGAGGAGAGTCAGTTTGCTATCCACTGGATCAGGTTCAGGCCAAAAATGAACACCACGATCACCATTTTCAATACCTCCAAACCAAGCTACCGGCTGAGAGCAAAATGCATTTAGGAAAGAATTTTCGTTGAACTCAAACTAGCAATTTAGAAACTGATAACGTATAATTAGCAAATATATAAGGAAGATGGAAAAGCGAAGTAAAATCTACGTTGATTATACCTTTGTACTGTATTTGGCTTTCCTCTTTTTCCAAAAAACTGCAAGCTTGTGTGGATACCTATAGTTGAGGAAGAAAAAACACTTATTATAAAGATTGGGAAAACAAACTCGCCAGAGACAACCACACTTCTGTTCTACGCAGATTCTTTCCTTGTAAGAGCGTTTGACGTTTTACGCTGGAATGTACTTGCATCTTTTATAATTTTGGAATACGACAGAACGCAATCGTGTTCAAGGGGCGGCCGCCATGACGTCTCTCTACCAAGACTGGTAACGAGTCGCATTGACCCCTCCCTCCCCCTTCCTGCCAACTATTGACTGATATCAAAAACCTTTCGCAGCACTGCCACTGAAAATTGGACACTTCTTCTTTCCCTTTTTCTTTATACCGAGTCTTAGAACTTCTAAGAGCATAACCACATTCGATTTGATAAATAAACATTTTGCCCCTTTAACGGGTCTCACACCGAAATCAAACTCAGCCAAAATTCGAACGCGCTTATTTTTTTCTCAGTTCACTTGATCAGAGCTAAATGAATCTAGTTCTCGAAACAAGTTGCTTTGTCAAAGCTGAAGTTTTCATTGTTTGCTAATCCGCAGAGTGAAAAAGACTGAAAATATTAGTCTGACTCTGGATGAGCCGGTCTGAAGACTCAAACTCTCGGAAAAGAAAGATAGAAAATACTTTTTTTCTTATCGCTCACCACTTTTTCTTGCGTAAATCAATAGTCAGTAATGAAACAGATGCTGTGATCAAAAATTCATCAGCTCTTGCTTTTTCCCGGCAAAAGGGTTTGATAACACAAGCCATAGTTGCTTCGTGCAAAATCTCTAAGACAAACACCAAGGATTTCTGTTTCGTTCATTGTGATGTCACGTTACCATGAGGATGGCTGCTTCGACTTCTAAGTGAATTGCGCGCGCTCAAGACATTGACTTGATCGAGTTTTTGAAATAGTTTGAGTTTCTCCATAATAACACGTGAAGTAGAAGTATCTGTATGCGGGAAATGGATGCATTTAGGAACGAACCGCGCTTGGTTGGATCATGTCGTAGAACACCATTCTTCCGTGCGAGAGGTAGAGGGTTCAAACCTCTGACGGACCAACACTTAATTAGCAAATTTGTTGGTTACGTGGGAAAAATAAGATAGGCATTCTAAGACTGCATGCGGCCACCGGTGAGGCAAAGTCGCTCTAGCATTGAAAAGAACTAGTGCCCAGAATCAAAATCGGACACTTGTGTCCAAAATCAAACGTTGGATCGTTAATGTCCAAAGAAAAAGTGGAACACTAGTGTCCAAAGTCAAAAATCAGACACCAGTCTCTAAAAAAAAAAATTAGGACACTAGTATCCAAAATTAAACATCGGACGGTGGTTTCTAAAACCAGAAATCGGAAATTAGTGTCCAAAGTCAAAAATTTAAAAATCTATTGTCTTAAATCGGGCGCAGGGTTCAAAATAAAAAATGAGACACCAGTGTGCAAAATCAAACATCGGACACTAGTGTCAAAAATCGGCACTAGTGTTCAAAATCAAAAATTGGAAAGTAGTGTCCAAAATAAAGAATTGGCAGTCAGGAAGACTGCACGTGGCCATTGAAATAGCAATGGTAATATTAATAATAATTTATAGGGGCTTGCACATGAACTTCACTGTTCCTCTTTCCTGTAGGCTGCAATAATAAATTATGCTGAACCTAAGTTTTCTTTAATTTTTTCCGTTAATCCGGCAGTGGCAGCGGGTTAATATCGGGTGAAGTTCGGCATTCTATTGCTACCATCGCTAACTCATTTGGATAACATGTGGCTTCGCCTTCTATAGGAGGCAGTAGCCACAGGAAGTGAAAGTGATAGCTTCCGGTTGATTCTCCACTGCAGTTAAGAGCAACATGACAAAATCCAGAATTAGAATTGACAGCTGAGTAAATTAAGGCCCTGTTTACAAGCAAGGAGGGTAACCCTTGTGCTAGGGTTACCCTAGCAGGCGAGTCAAAGATAGCCCAGGTTTACAAGCAAAATTTCACAGGTAGGGTTACCCTACCACCCGGGAAAACTTACCTATGCTTGGTAACCGCACGCATTGTTATCAATGTTCAAAGGATCTGGAAACAAGTAAAAAGTTGTCCCGGGTAGGCGAGTTATCCCCACCAGAGCGTTTACAAGGCAGCTAGGGTTACCCTAGCGCTAGGGTAATCCTAGCGCTCAGCTAGGGTTACCCTAGTGTTAGGGTAACCCTAGCTGCCTTATGAACACGTCGATGAAAAAAAGAAGAAATGTGGGAGCGTTAGGGTAACCCTCCAGCCAGGGTAACCCTAGCACTAGGGTTGTCCTACCTGCTTGTAAACAGGGCCTAAGTTCCAAACGCATGACTATGATAAATGCAGTTTTCTTTACTTTTTTAAACGTCCACCCGATCCTGTTACATAAACTCAATCACTATGGAATTCGCGGAGTTGTAAATGACTGGTTTTCATCGTACTTGTCTGGAAGGGTCCAAACTACACAAATAGGATCCTACATATCACAAAAAGAAAAAACCCTGTATGGGGTCACCACAGAGCTCCGTGTTAGGGCTATTGCTGTTTCAGTATTTATAGCAATGACATTTACAATGCTTCAGATAAATTGGCATTTTAATTGTTCGCTGACGATACAAATCTGCTATTTGCGGACAAAAACCTTAAATCTCTTGAAACAGCGGTGAATGTGGAACTAATGAATGTTAATGATTGGCTAGCCTCAAATAAACTCTCTTTAAATGTGAAGAAAACCAACTTTGTCATCTTCCATCCCAGCCAGAAACGACTTAATTACAAAGTAAATCTAAAAATATATGATAATAACAGAAAACATTTCATTTGCCTGGAGCGTAAAGACTATGTGAAATATTTAGGTGTAGTTATTGACAGTAACCTTACCTGGAAACATCATATCAGTCATATCGCATCAAAAATAAGTAAAGGCATTGGTATAATTTGTAGACTAAGGCATCTTGTACCATATTCGACATTACTAGATATATATAGATCACTCATTTATCCTTATTTATCATATGGCCTTATCGCTTGGGGCCAAACAGCTACTAGTAAGTCTCATACGGAAAAAATATTGATACTCCAGAAAAGATTTGCGCGATTAATGAACTTTGCCAATTATAATTCACGCGCCATTCCTTATTTTATGTCGGCTAATCTTATATATGCCAATTAATATACTTTACATTAAACTCTCTTCTCTCTTAATGCATGATGTCCATAACAATTTAACCCCTCCCCCTAATCTTTCTGGTATGTTCACTCTTTCCCACCAAATACACAATCCAATACCTGATCGTCATCTGCCGGTAACTATTGCGTGAAGGTGTAGTCTGATCGTCCGGGTGAGTGTAGTCCTGAGAAGGACTGTTGTCGGTGGCAGTGACTGACGTTTCGACAACCTGTGCGGAAGTCATCATCAGAGTCAAGTGAGTGATTGTTGTCAGTAGAATGTTCTTATTCGGTAACTATTGCATAAACTGTTCTAGGCTAAATCAACATAAACACTCATTCTCAAGGACTGGTTGTAAAATTTGGAATAGCATCCCAGGAAACTTAAGGAGTCTTCCAAAACATATTTTCAAGAAAAAGATAACAACAATATTATTTCAAAATCTTCAAGTTCAGGATAGTTATGTTGACGTAGAACGAATAATCAATGATGTGTCGAAAGTATCATTTTCTATTTATTGTCATGTGTTTCTGTTTCTGTATTTTATCTCATACTGTCATTTGCGCTTTACTGATTTAATATTTAATTTCTGTTTCTTGTATATTTATTGAATCTTTTATCGAGCCGAATAAATTGCAAAATATTTCCTCGTAATACTGCTTGATTTCGTACCGTGAACTGACGTAAGGGTGTAGAGAAGAAAACATTGTGTTCGTACGCTACCCTCCTTTTTCGGATAAAAGTTTGGATAGTACAATCGTCTTTCATATCAAGCACAGTGGTGTTTGGCGGATTGGGAAAACAAGAGAATTTCGTGAAGTTATGTTTTAGAGTCAATCACCTCCACATCCAAATACAGTGGCTATGTTTATCAAGGGCGCGTCTGAGACGAACTCACCGATCCTTCAAACTGACTCGATCAAAAATTCGAGCAGTTTAAAATTCACTCCGTACAGAATGGAAATAGGAATGCAAAAAACAGCAAACAGCTTTTAGTAAGCCAATGCTTCTTTAATATAGGCTAAAACACACGAATTGCAGCTCAGTCACACCTTACCAAAAAAAACCTATTTTTTTTTTTTTTTGCGAAGTATGGAATTTCATCATTTATATAATGCGATGAAATACAACATTTCGTTAATCCAACTTTTTTTAAGCCAGAAAAAAAAAGTCGCATCTATTGTACATGTATGTAGCTGGGTGCTTCAAATTAACAAATGGTAAACACCACAGCGTACACTATTGAGTTATGGATGCACGCGGGAGGTTGCTAAGCACGAAAGAAGCGTAAGAGTCGCTCGAGGCGACAGCCGAGAGCGACTCTAGCTTCTTGAGTGCTTAGCAAACCTCCCAAGTGCATCCATAACTCAATAGTGTACGCTGTGGTGTTTACCATTTGTTTTATAACATAACATTGATACATTGTAGCTAAAGAGTTCCCGTTTATTTAACAAATCTTACGCGACCAGAAAAAACAAGCGCGCGCGGAAAAATAGTCTTTGCATTTGCTCACGTCAGCAGCGTACACCCATGGGCAAATGGGGAACGCTAAATTGACCAATCAGAGCGCGCGCTTTACTTTGGTTATGTTATAAATACTATTGTGGCTTTATCCGATAAAAAGAAATAACAACCTTCTGAATTGTCTAATTTGTTATACCAACACTCCAATACATCAAAGAGATTTTACTCGGCCGGCTTCAAGAACTGCTACACTTGTGCTAAGAAATGTCAACAACCGACAATCCTATCTGGCGATAACCTAAGCCTTTTTCGTTTGGGCTTGCTTGATCATTTCTAAATTATCTGCAGCTTGAAAGAACTTCTCAAAAAAGATGTCAAGCTGCAGGCACCAACTGTGTTGCTGATCTGGCTGCAGATCCACTTGACTGGGATAACCTTGAATTCCAAGACTTGGGCTTTGAACCTCTGCTGCAAAGCACAACGAACGTTATTTACGATGAACATGACTACCATTTCACATCAAAAACAAAGTCTCTCAACAGCTCAAACCTATCAAAATCAACTCATCAAGATTTCTAGAATGCAAGAGGTATCTAGAAATATGCTTCAAAATCCAAAATTGGCCCAAATTAATCAAGAAGATGTTAATTCTAAAAATCACAAAGTTTACTAGTTCAAACGTTTACAAAATTCTCCTTCCTGTCACTGCCTTCGTCTAAATTACAAATAACTAAGGCTCTTGCAAATCAGGGTAAACAACTGGAGACAAGAGGGAACCTACCAAGGTTGTCGACTTCCCCTTCCTCAAACCCTGCAGTCTCAGAAGATGGATGTGCTGCATTTGCACTGGAAGGAACTGACTGGATTCTCTTGCTGCCTTCTTGGGAGCTTGGAAGAAGCTCAGTGCTTTTTGCTAGAAAACAAACATCAACGATGACAAGGTGTTTTTTTCCTTCCAAAAAAAAGGTTATATTACCACTCAAAAATAGGAAAGTAATTGAAAAGGGTGATTTAGGTGTCAACATTTTTGCAGTCAAGTGCATCTTTACTCTACTGAATTTTGCGTGACTAAAAAGTGCAAGAAATAAGATAGCAATGTATTTGCTAGTGTATTTGTAAAACAATGGAACAATCCTATCCTCTTATTTAAGAGATCAAACCAAAACATGTCTCAGCCTACCAGAGGTAGTGCGTGCTACAACGGCCTCCCTGCTTTTTGTTGGAGAATCAGTTGATGGTAGACGAGGAAGCTTCACATCTGATGCTCCAGACATGACCCTGGACACACGATCAGGAGACTCTCCTCCTCCTCCTCCTGGTGTATCAGTAGCTGAGTTGATAGTTTGCAGGTACTGGTCTGGTGAAGATGTACATGAAAACTGATAAGTGATAAGTATGGGAGACTGTGTATTTACTGAAGACAGTAACTTCAATTTGTATGTGTTATGACCCCTTTAGTGCTGAAAACTTGGCTATAATCTTAGTGAGGCATACACCACTTTCATAAATGGCTGCCGGATTGATATTCTTTTGTTTAAATTCAAATTAGCCTTACTAGCCTCGCTTGAGATAATGCATTCTTTTGAATTTTGAACTGGAGAACGAGGCCAGAAAGGCTAATTTAAATTTAAATAAAAGAATATCAATCCTGCATCCATTTATGAAAGGGGTCAATATCTAAGAAAACATTGACAACTCAAGTTTGTCTGATTTCAACATTATCCTTACAAAGTAGTTTACAAACCAATAGGTCTCAATATGAACTTAAGGGGAGAAGAGTGGGGAAAAGAAGACAGTATGGCAGTTCTAAAAGAAGAAAGAAGGACAAGAACCAAGATTTTGAAGGTCCCAGATCACAGGAAGGAAAAAAAAATTTCTCCCACATACAAAAGGTAAAAAGCTTCAAGTCATGTGAAAAATTAATTGCACAAAAATTTCAAGAAACTCCAAACTCATTTCAGGCATTTCGAAACTCTACGTGAACATTTGAAAACTCAACTTGAGCTTCCACCCCCAAAGTATTCACATACACACATACATATACATATGTTAGTTGACCACTCCCCATGGGGGCTTTTCAGGGTCAATCC